GAGGAAAAAAAGCCTCTGAGCTTGGAGAAAATGTAGTCACGAAGCTCGTGGGGAACGTAGTCCTGTGCGATTGATCGGATGAGCACGGCGGTTGCTGCAACTGAGGCTGCGGCGGAGATTATGGATTTGGCGGAGGGGAGCTGGGAGCTATCTGCAGACAACAACATGGTTTTTGGTGCTTCTTAAACTGGGTTGACTTCTTTTAAACTGGGTTTACTTATTTTTTGCTGTAAATTGGTGGGTATATGGAGTTTTGATGGGTTATACCTGGTGGTCACGGGAAGTGTTTTGGTGAGTGAGAAAATAGAGAGGACGTACTACTAAAATGGAGGTGTTTAAAGGATCAAAGAGCTACTTGATTATAAACTATTGAAATAGTTGAAGGTTGAGCAGAAATAGACCGTATGGTTTTTGAAGCGATGGTGGTGGGTGGTGATTGGCTACTGGGAAACTGAGAGAAAGTGGGAAGAAAATGGGTAGTTTCTGCAGAGAAATTAAAGTCTTGGTCTTGCAGTGGCCCTGTTGCTGCAAGTCAAATATTTTGAACCAATTAGGAAGAAAGTTGACTTGTTGACTTATAAATTCTATATTTTTATAATTATTTATTTGTTAATGATATTTTATTGCTTTCTATATATATATATATATATATATTTAAAATTCTCAGTTTGCGTGTAACTAAAGCTTAATCCGAATAGCTTATTTTTCCTCTTCTTTTTTGCATTTAGTTTCTGAAACAAACACGTACCATCCAATCATTAAATGAAAAAGAAAAAAAAAATGTTAGAAATAATTATAGAACTTTCATAAGGGAAAAATGAAACGAACAGAAAAACCCAACTGAGAAAAGAAAACTAATCCGAAACCCACCAACAGTTTCAACCTATACACACACACACACACGCACACATGCATACACACGCACATCTATATATATATATACATATAGTATCTGCTTAATGCTAATAATGCATTAGAGCATTATCCACATCAAATGAATTAAAGAAAAGAACAATTTAAATAAATAATAATCCATTTGCAAGTGGAAAAGAACTTGGAACTGATGCCTGTTTCTTCTAGTGAATGACAGCAATTACCTAGTCACCATGAATATATTTCATATATATATATAGAATCAGAGCAGAGGTATCCCATAAAATACACCTTCAACTTTCTATTTTTTTGTGGGTATTTTTTGAGAGATTAGACAAATACTTGAGATAAACTTGAGATGCTTTTTCAGACATATATATTGTATATATTATACACACATATATATATATATGTTTTAAAAAACCCAACTTTCTCTGTTTTATGCTCTGCTTAAGATTCATGTCTCAAGTTTCAATGACCTTAACTGGCAATTAGCATCAAAGTATATTATGATTTTGTGAGCACAAGATTTTTAGAATTCATTCTTCCTAGCTCATCTGATTTGCCATACATTCTCCTATCTAGGAAATGGGGCATCTCAGAAAATTGGCTAAGATTCCTGGAACTTGGCCACGCGTAAAGGACATTACTTTTCTGCATAATCTGAATTTGGATAAAAAAATTTTCCTACATCCCTTTGTTTTTTTTTTTTTTGTTACTTATGTAATAACTACGAACGGTAAAAAAGATCAAATTTTTTATTTTTATTATGTTATAGTGCTCTTTCTCTCGTGCGCGAAAAGAATTAGTACGTGAATCGGAATACAGAACAGAATCCAATTGTGTAAAAGACGACTTTTTCAAACGTTTAAGATAATGAGAGAAATAGCCAAATTTATTATCTACATAAAATTACAGAGTTCTTTATATTTAACACATTAGTGTTTATAGAATGACAGAGGCAGTAAATTTTTTGGAAACAAAAACTGTTTGATAATTTCCATCTTATGTACTACATGATTTTTTACATGTACATACAGACACTTAGAGCTCTCTAGATAACAGAGTACTCTTCATCCTTCCGAAACCTTTTCTGCCTTGCGATGAATTCTTCCACCTTGTTTCGGAACTCTTCGTTGCTCATTGCGTCTTCCGGGTACGAGATATTCACCAGTTTCATATTAGACTCAGAGCTTTCCGTGAACTTCTCTGTCTGTGATCGCCTTAGTTGCGCAAAATTTTCGAAAGTCACATGCCTGAGATTCTCGGATCGAGTTCTTTGGTAACTCTTGATCTCTCTGGAAGCAGAGACAGTGTTAGCAACAACTCTTTCTTCAAATATGTTCTGTTTTTCTCTGTTTTTTTCTTCACACGTACTCTGTGTTTCTCCCTGTTTCGCTTCAGAAGTTCTCTGTTTTTCTCTGTTTTTTGTTTCGGTTATACTCTGCTGTTCTCTGTATCTAACCACGTCTCGATGGATACCGTGCCTCCTTTCACTTTTTTTGACAAACTCTTGATATAAATCGAAGCTCGAACTTCGCATAGCAGAATCTTGGCCGGAAAACTGACCAGACTTTGCAAAAAGAATGATGACAATCAAGTTTCCGAGAATGAACACAAAGCGCGGGCTTGCTAGGATGACAGATAAGTCCCGGAAATACTCACCGGAGTTCTTGACAGCATCTGGGAGGTGAGCGGAGAGCCTCGAAATCAAAACCAGAACAGCACATATTTCAACTAATCTGAACAAGTGTGTGATCTGCCTTAGCCTCCGATACTTTAGGATTGCATTTGCCTTATCAACTTTGACCTTCCGGAGCTTAAACGGATCCATTCGAAAACCAAGAGAGAGAGAAAAAAAAAAAACAGAGAGATTTGACTGGAACTCAGTGGGAAATGGTTCGATTTCTTGTCACTGGAAACCAAACCCGCTATTTCCCGAAACTACCGCAATAGCCCTCTCTCTCAAAAGAAGAAATAGGGAAACTGTGGGAATAGAAAACAGAGTAGTTGTGTTTAGGATCATGGAAAAGAAAAGAAAGGACAGTGAAGTCCTAACGAAGAGAAACAGAGAGTAAAACAGAGTAAGCTCTGTTTTTCATTTAACAGTTTGGAATACTTGAAGAATATATGTATATGTATATGTATTGAATGTCTAGATTGCATAGATTTGCTATTTATAGCCCATCAAACATAAATACTATTTTATTTTATCTTATTTTCCAAATTTCAATTATATAATACTTTTCTTTAAAAAAGAAAAGACATAATATTCTTCTTCCTGACTTTATTAAATATATATATGTCTATATATATATATATATATATATATATATATGCAAGTGGTGTGTATAATTTTCACAGGCATAAGGCTTACTACCCTTTCATCTTCTATTATTCTCAGTAGCATCAAAAGTACTTTTTGGCCATTGTTGAATAGCATTTTTCCATGCATGCATCCAATCAGATCTAACTTTTTACAGTACAAATTTTCTTTTCTAAACAAATTCCAAAACCCAAAAAGCACTTATACCTAACATTTTTCTTTGGGTAAATTTGGAATTACCTCTTTATAAAATAAATTTATTATTATTCATTTATTAAAATTGATTTAGCAAAAAAAAAATATAATAACAAAAAAAAAATTACAATCTCATTTATTGGATAAAATACTATTCAAATTTTAATTTAAAAAAAATTTGAAGTTGGAATTTTTATCTAACCTAAAAATAATATATATATATTTTACGTTATATTTAAAAAATAATTTCTATTAAAAAAAAAAAAAAAATCTGTTCATAAACTGAGAGATTGAGGAAGTTTATTTTCATGTTCAACAATCATTAACTAACCAGATAAACTACCTGGCCGATAATGACTGTTCTACGGAACCTCCAATCAAAGCATGACACGTGGCACATTAAGACAACAACCAGAAGCCATTTTAATTTTGGATTCTACTCCCTCACATTTCCTTCTTCACTAAGTATTGCCACATACCCCACACTTTTCTTTTTTTAATTTTTATAATAAGCCCACAGATATATATATACACACATATATATATATATACATATACATATACATATACCCAACTTAATTTAGCTTTATTATAATTATTTTTCTCTTTTGATAAAGCTTTAAACCTTTTTAACTGATTTATGCATTTTATTTAACTCTCCCATCAATAATTGTAGTTATTAGTGTAGTAGTAATGGATTATGCCATCTTTATATATATATATAAATATAAAGAGTTTAATGGTATTTAATTTGCTTTAAGACTTTTGTTTTACACATGGCAACTTAGGAATGTTTGTTTGAAAAAATTAAGCTTAGCTTCTAATTAATCCATATATATATATATATATATATATATATATATATATATAAGAAGAAGAAGAAGAAGAATTGGAATAAGGTTTTCTTATGAAAGTAATTTTAATCGTAGATTAATCAAGATTTAGTAGATATTTTTTGGAGGTGGAATTTTTTTCACCTCAAAAAATTAGATACTAATTACATCTTACTTTAAAGATTAATCACACAATTAAACAAGTTCTTCTTTTAAGCTAGATTAATCACACAATTTTTTTATATATATATGAAAAAGTGGGTTGATTTATATATTATTTAAGAAAAAATTAGGATTAATTACATAACTAATAGATGTTTTAGAGGTTTTCTTGAGTATTTTGTTAGATAATAAAGAGATATATTATATAAAAACTTATCCAAAGGGATAGAATCAATATTTCTAAATAATTTTTATATTTGTGATTTTCAAGTTTTATTAAATAAATTAATATTAAACTAGATTTTCAGCTTATATTATGTACAAAATACAGTTTTAGAATATTTTTTTATAGTTATATAAATATAACATAAAAATTAATTTACACAGAGAAAAATTTTATAAAATTAAAAAAAATTTCGTACTTTGTATTTTTTTTTTTTAAAAATTATATAATAAATGAGATATAGAGAAGGAGTAGATAATCAACAGTTTATATATTAATTTTATTTTAAAATATTATAAAATTAAGATGTGATAATTCTCAATTGATTTTGTATATTCAATATATATATATGTATATATATGTATATATTCAAGGAAAATGACTGCCCTGCTTGGTTTTCCTCAATTGAGATTCTTCTGATTTATAACTTAAGTTGGTTGATTAAACCTAAATAAAAGTTGATTGATTAATAAATTATATTTTATAACGCACTAACTTAATGATTATATTTTTTTAATGTAAGTTTATATGCTATATATAAATATGTAAGTTTACTAGCATGTTTCTATATTATATATATATATATATATATATATACACACACATATATTTATATGATTGGCAACAACTAAAGGAAGAATTGATGAAGTTGGGGACTTTGTTTTGTATGAAGTAAATATTTAATAAAATTATATTCTTAATTAAGGGTATCTTTTTGTCATATGGTTATAATAAGGAAGTAAAATATTTTTATTATTTAGGTAAAACTTATATACCAATAATAATATGATATTTAATCATGAAAAATTAACTGAATTTTTTGAGATATATGATAATATTAAAACAAATATGTCTTCAAATTAAAATTCAAATTAAGATTTAAGAAAAATGATTTCACTGAAAAAAAAAGAATAAATTTACGATAATAGAAGTTTTCAAAATCTTTACAATTTAAATACGATATTAAACTTCTTGAAATTTAACATGTAAGGTAACGAAATAGCTTATTCGATGTTAAATATTTTTAAGCTATATAACTTTTACCTTGAGTGACCATTCAAATAATACATATATATATTAAGTTGAATCTGCATAAATTTTAAAAATTTACCAGAACAGATTAAGACAAGTATAAGATTAAGATCTAATAAGCATGTCTTGTAACGGTCCTGAAAATTTAAAATGGAATGTATATTAAAAATATCAAATGCGGAAGCGAAGTCAAAAATTCGATTAACATCCCTTACACTAAAACCAAAAACGTGCTCACAATATAAAAGATCAAACTACCTAAAGGAAAGACTTGAAAGTAAAAGCTACGAATATGACTATGGAGTCTTTAGGCGTCCCCTTCGTCGTCCTCCTGCGGAACCGGCTCGGGAACAATGTCTTCCTGATCTGAAATGATTAAATAAGGAATGAGCTACACTAGCCCAATAAAGACATTACGATATCTCACCGTCACGGAGGTAAAGGTGGGTAGAAAACACAAAAAGACCAATAGAGCATAATTTACAACAAATCCTTTCATCAATAATAAAACCTTTACCATTCACTTACCTTGGTGAAATTCATAAAACAATATACGAAAGCAATAATATCATCATCATCATGAAATCATATATAAACTGTATAACATAATACTTATCAAGCCTTTCGTAATTCAATCGTTACACAATATGTTTTCCTCATTTACCAGCCCACTAGTATCCATGGGGATCCATAGGGGTCCCGCTACCCGTTAACCCTTAACGCTTGAAATCATATTCCAAGGCCGTCCTCATACCCCGTCCGGTATGGGCACCAAAACTATAAACCTCATTACCCCGTCCGGTATGAGGGTGAAACGGGCCGTCCCCATACCCCGTCCGGTATGGGCGCCAAAACACATAAGATCTCCATACCCCGTCCGGTATGGGAGACCACAATCCCGGTAGGGTTCCCTACGGACCCAGTCCGTCCACCATCTCTCAGGATATCTAGTCAGGCTGACCACATTATACGATTACTCATTTACATAATCTTTCATTCTCTTTTTCCTCAGTCAGCATCATCAATCCACATACAAACAAACAAAACGGTAATTTACGCCAAACAGACAACATACAGCATNNNTTCGGGGTTCGAACACGGCTTCACAGTGCGCCTACAGGCTGTTCCTAATTTTCCTTGAATTTTTCCCGGGGAACTGAAATGCACTACTGGTACCTGCACATGTTCCAAAAAAATCCCAAATTAGGCCCAGGGCCCCTTTCGGCCAATATCGCAATTCCGGCACGGCAGCTCCGCCGTGCTCCGGCGACGGTGCCGCCACTTGCGGCGGCGATTCGCCTCGGTTTGGCCGTTTTCGGCCGAATTCGGCCACACTTGCATCGATCCTTGCGATTAAACAACTCTAGGCCCCTCGGGGGGGCCAAAAAATTACGGAAAACCGAAGCTTACCGGCGGCGGCGTTCTCGGGTGTGGCGGCTCTCCGGTGAAGTTCGTGTTTTGGTGATTCGGCTCTGATCAACCTATAGAGAAAAGAATGGTGATCACGGTGATATAAAAATTGCATTAAACGGAGGCCGGGAAGGGCCTCATCGGAGGCAAAAACCGAGGAGGGGCATAGCAGTGCCGCTGGGTTTTGGCCGTGTTTTTCGGCTGTTTGGCCGGGATTTTAGCTCCGATTTGGTCACAGGGGAAATCAGCGTGGAAAAACGAGTCGGGAGTATGAAATTTACCTCGATCGGCGGTCGAAAATCCCTCCGGTGCGGCGGCGGGTGGCGGCGGCCGGCTTCTGGTTCGTCTTCTCCGGCGAGGGCAAGCGGCTAGGGTTTTGTAGTCTGGTGTGGGGGTCTTATTTATACCCTTTTGCCTTTTGATCTCAGCCGTCCATTTTGATTTAATCTGGGCCGTCCGATCGCACGCTTGATCTGAACCGTCCGATCGCGCACACGCGGATCGCCAACGTGGCCTGTCCCGGATCGACGTGGTCTTGCCACGTGGCAGGTCCCGATTGGCCGGGACTGCTGACTGGGTCTGCTGACGTGGCTGCTGATGTAGCCCCCCCCCC